ATTGACAGATGATTATATGGAGGGGTCGGGTTGCGCGGCACAACGGATTTGTTTAAAGTTTATATTGTGGGATCGGGCTGCACGTCGCAACATATTGATGAAAGTTATATTTGTTGTGATTGTTGAATTGGCCTCGGTTGTTGAGATGAGTTACATGACTGGTTATTCGGGACTCTACTGGTTGATTTGAGTTTCGTTGATATGAGTTACCTGCTTTACTTATATTCCTGTCTTTCTGTTGTTATTACTATTATTGCGTACAGGTTAATGTAAGTGACTCGCCTTAGCCTCGTCACGACTTTGTCGAGGTTAGGCTCGGCACTTACAGAGTACATGGGGTCGGTTGTACTCATACTACACTCTGCACAACTTGTGCAGATACCAGAGTTGGTCCCAGCGGCATACCGTAGACTTGCTCGGATCCAGCTACCCATAGGAGACCTGAGGTACTGGTGCACGATGTCCGCAGCTCTGAAGTCCCCTTCTACTTCTTTTAGTTGTTCATTTGATTCAAACAGTTATATTTATTTCAGACTATTATTTTTAGTATCTTAGATGTTCATGTATTCGTGACACCAGATCCGGGGTTGTATTTGAATTTTGTCACTTATTAGCTTATTTATCTTGTTTCAGACTATTCAATTTCTTTATTGTCATCATATTTGAAGTTTGTTAAAAATAATTAATAAATACATCTAACGTTGGCTTGCCTAGCAAGTAAAATATTAGGCTCCATCACGGTCCTTAGGGTGGGAATTCCGGGTCGTGACACATTTGATTTCTCTTTATCGGCTTGAGCCTCGTCGAACATAGACTTTGTGTGAGATGGAGACTCTGCGATGTTGATGACATCATTGTTCCCTTCGGAGTGGGGGATAGTTTCTTGAGAGGCTGTAGCCTTTGACTTTTCTTCTAGCTCCCGAGCTAAAGAAGGATTGGCCTCTCGGCTACCTTCCCCAGCTGTCGCATGATCTCCTTCGTCAATGGTCGACCCATGAGCGACGAACTCTAGTTCATCGTATTCGTGGTAATCCCTAAACTAGAAAAGGGAGTCAGGATTCGGTACCCTAGCTTGGGTACTCTTTTTATTGCTTTTCTTGACCCGGACAGCTACCCTCTTCTTCTTGACCTCGGCGTCCGGAGATCCCGAGGATTTCCTCTTTTTCTTCTATTCTCCTCTTATGCAACAACTCCGGGCTATTCCGAAGCGGAGGGTCCAGCAACCTAGGACGGGGCCTCGCCCTCGTCCAATGGCCGAAGCTCAGTGGTCTTGGGCAAACCTATAAAAAGAAAAAGACTTAGTAGAAATAAAAGTTAAGTATGAAAGTAGAATTATTCGGGAGGAGGGCTCACCGTGGGAACGGGCCTCCAACTTGACCTTTGAAAGCTTGTGCCATTCGCGCTCAAAATAAGACATCTGTTTACACATCCCCTCGATCTACTCCTTGAGGCAGGGGACTGCATTGGGAACTTGGATGACCATTGCACAACAATGGGCACAGACAATTAGAAAAAGAACAAAGGAAGTATCAAGTACTCATAAATGAAGGGAAACTTATGGGCTAACTTCCACTTTTCAAGGAACGGTTAAAATTCGGAGGGAATGAGGTCTTCGGTTTTCACATGAATGAACCTCCCCTGCCAACCTCGATCTCGATCTTCATCTATGCTCAAGAACGGAGCTTTGCTTTCTCGACGGACGAGCTTGATCAACCCCCTCAAAAAACTCGGGGACTGTAAAGACGAAGCAGGTGGTCGAGGGTGAATCGAGATGCTTCGATGTTATTGACGAAGTGGCAGAGGAGGATTACGATCCTCCAAAAGGACGGGTGAATCTTCCCAAGGCAGACCTCGTACCTTTTGCAGAAACTGAGAATTATAGGGTCCACCGGGGCAAGCATGAAGGGGTAAGTGTAAATACTTAGATAACCTTCCACATGAATGGTAATGTCTTTGTTGGGCCCAGGGACGACCACCTCCTTACCCTCCCAGTGGCAGTCCTCCCGAACTGTAGAGAGTGTATCCTCGATAACGGAGCATATGTACCTCCATGCTCCCTCGCCTCGGTCCTGTTGACTGGAGACTTTCTCGACTTTGAAGTCGTTCTCAATTGAGTAGCCTCCGGGGATGAAAATTTTCAAAGGAGGTTTCGGGGCCACCTCGGCATCCATGACCGGGTTGGAAGTTGAAGGAGCGACATGTTGAGGCACAGATTTGGACATTTTTGCCATCGGGTTCTGGAAAATGTGAAGGTTTGAAGGTGAGGATGAAGATTTGAAGATAAGGATGAAGGTATGAAGGTCAGATTTGGAGATTTGAGGAAGGAGTATGAAGATTTGAAGATGAAAATATGAAGATCCGGAAAATAATATATGAAGATTGGAAGGAGTTAGGAATAAGTGAAGAGTTCGAGGGTAAGTCAAGGAGTTGCGGAATCGGAAAGTAAAAAAGTAAAAAAGAGATCAAAGCTTTTATAGAGAAAGGGTAATCAATGCGTGACGTTTCGGATTCGGGGATGGTCAACTGGCGGCTGACACGTGTCCGAAGTCAGAATGACGCGACTGATGGGACGTTTTGTTGACCCGTCAACTCGGTTCTAGCGTACGGAAGAAGGAACCAGAGTTAATTTATCGCTTCCCATCGCTTCGATAAATCTACTCTCCGAGAAACGAGGGGACTATCTGTGTACGGGTAAAATTGGAGTCAGAGTTTTCCCCGATGTGAAAACGGAGGAGAAGCATGGCTCGGCGTGATTATGATCGAGGCCCAAGAACCCCTCGTATCGAAACCCAGAGTAACAAACGATGTATCTGAGGTCCGGTATAGTGAAATAACGGACTAAGACCAAGTATAGCTTCTTGACTTCGGAAAACACAGAGAACGGTTAAGCACGACAAGTAGAGGGCCATAAAATTCTCCCTCAAACGGATATTACGGCGCGAATTCCGTCCGGTATCAACTATAGATCGATATTTACCGGAAAAAGAAGATTTTTATCTTATTTAGATTTGTACTGGGACTGAAATTTCCCTACTGTATAAAGGGAAAGGTTTTCTTTATTCTAACATACTGTGACACATAAATCAAAGCAATAAAAGCTTACTTTTATTTTCTAGCTATTGTTCAAAGCATTATTCATTTATTTTTTTCTTCACTCGCGACCGAACTTGTATCGAAGGTCCAACCGAGGGTGGATTCCACTGTACAATCTAAAACGAGGCTTGGTCACTACATTGTGATTGGTTTGATCATTTATTTTGGCTTTAACTCGTTTATCTGTTGTTCTTAATTATTCGTATTGAATTAAACCACATATCCTTTAAACTGCGGTAATTGTGAGTAGTCGATGTGCAACCATTGCTGTATGTATTGAAGAGATTAGTGTATAACTTTGGAGAAGTGCCCGAGGGATTTAAAATTAACAATATATTCAGAAAAAATAAGAAAAATGGTTTAACACTCTAAGACACGATCAACTAAATAAAAATAAAATAAGATTATTATTGTACTAAAGCAGGAAACTTCATTGTAAATCGTATTGTAGGGATACATCTCATATGCATTTCCGAGGCATTTTGTGCATGAAATCTTTTTAAAAAAAAGTTGTTTGTGTTTCAATAAAGAAGTTTCTACTTTCTTCAGATTTTGTGAAGGGTAGTCATAAAATATTTAGCGGATAACATTGAAGGAATTGAGTAAGCAGACTGCCACAGTAATTCAGACGCCAAAAGGTACGGTTAATCATAACTTTATGCTGTGCGATTCGAATTAATCAAAGCTCTAATATAAATATCAACCACCGAGTAAAAAATCAAAAATACGTTAATAAATGAAAGGGATTAAAGTAGGTCGAGATCGCAAGAATTATGCAAGCTTTGTTTATAAGTCAACATCAACAAAAGAACTAAGCATATATCCTCTTTTCAACCAAAAAAAAATAACGACAACAAGTATTATTTTAATCATTCATCATCCCTCACGTTTGCTCTTGTCCTCACCTCCAATAACAGAGAAGGAAAAGAAAATGAAATAAAATTGAATGATGTGAAAATTAGTTAGTTATTTGTTGTCCTTCGGGAGATGGAGGTTTGTGGAGTTGTCTCATCAAATACAAGCTACTAATTTTTCAAAGTTCAGACATCAGACCAGCTATACTAATCGTAATTTCCATAATTCAAACTTAACAACTTTTGTTTTTGTTGGTTCAAAAGAGTAGTATATTATACATTACTACTATAATTTAGTAATGTTACATGCCATTGTGGATTTACAGTATATAGTTCCACTTTGGTTTGCTCTATGTAATTATGATGAATAAGTGGATTTTCAAACTTAGCAACTTGTAAAATAAAACAAATAACCAAATCTTCTTGTCCCCACCTCGAACTCCCCCTCCCCAAAAGAAGAGTTGTTTCACCAAATTTTGAAAGAAAATTGTTAATGAAATTATGAAATGAAGAAGATAGGACAGGAATTTGAATTTACGTTTTTATATTTCGCGTGCGAGGGAGGAGAGTAATCATAATATTGCACAACATTTTTAGAGGATAACAAGATAATATACCCACCAGTCAGAGTAATTGTGGTTGCTAAATTGGTGTCTGTATCACTTAATGATCGCTATCTGGAAGATATTATACATTGTTTCAAAGCTAAGCTTAACCTAATCATCTTCCTCTCCCCAACCCATTCCAAAAAGAAAAATATAAACGATAAACTAAAAGAGAAAAAATTCAAAGAAAGATGAGAAGAAAATAAAGGAACTCATGTACTAGTGGGTTGCTTGGACTTGGTATCAACTAACTCAACACTCTATATTGAGAAGGGAATTCATCTGCTAGCAGGTGGTAGATATGTTTCACTTTCATGTCGAATAGATCAAATTTTGTAGTTCATCTTAATTGGCTGTAATTACCTCTGTTCTTAAATGTCATCGAGTGCGATCTCTGCTCGTTGAAGTAATAGATACTTAAAACTTAATCAAAAGGTAAGACCGGCACTAAAATATTAACACCTTTCTCATTTGTGGTATGATAACTCTTGAACTGGCAAAGCCGACTAATCCCAAATAAGCTTTTTCAAAAGCGATGGCTTGCTTGTAATACCAGAAACAGCAGAAGAATAACCCAGCATTTGAGCCTTAATATCAGTTTCAAACAAAACGAACATGGAGCAGATGCACCAAAAAAAGGTATCTAAGTGGATTTCCAGTTTCTCACCCGGAGCAGGATTCAAAAGACTTCGCCATCTTAGGAAGTGAAATAGAAACAGAAATCTCTAAGCATAAAACTCGGAAACAATGAAAATAATGCTGAAAAGATGCGCAAATATAAGTGTACTAATTCTCCGGAGCAGGTTGGGTCAATCCATACCGTAGGAGCAACCTGTTCAAGGATTCCGGTGAGTGCACGTGGTATTTGACTTTACCATTGGTTTGGAATACCTCTGCCAGTTCAAGCTTCTCTGAAGTAAGACTAGTGCTATCCATAGTCTTACTAAGCACCTTCAGAACAAGTTGAACAGCTTCCTCCCTTGTGATGTCATCCTTGTAGTCCTGCTTCAGCATTGACTGTGCTGGTTGATTGTTAGCCCCAATCGCTGCAGCTTTCCAACCACCATAATTGCCGCTTGGATCACTCATGTACAGTTGAAAGCCATAGTTCTTATCCCAGCCTGCAAAAAGAAATGAAACACCAAATGGGCGAAGCCCACCAAACTGTGTATAGCCTTGCTTGGTGTCGCACAGAGACTGAACTAGCTGTTCAACAGGCATTGGTTCTTGATAAGCATAAGTATAGCGCTGAGCTTGAACCCTAGCAGTGTTAATGAGGATGTTAGCATCTGACATTATTCCAGCTACAGCACAGGCAACATGGTCGTCAATCTTGTACATCTTCTCAGTGGATGTTGAAGTCTGAAGAAGCTTTGAAGTTACCTTCTTTTCACCTACCAACACCACACCATCTTTAGCTAAGATACCTATTGCACTTCCTGCATTTCCAATAGCTTCCATTGCATATTCAACCTGATATAAACGACCTTCTGGGGAGAAGATAGTTGTGCGACTATCATATCTTCTTGACATTGTGAATTCTGCAGCAAATACCAAAAAATTCATAGAATCCTGTCAAGGTTTCATTGTGTAATTTATAGTGGCCATGAGGCATGAGTTCTAGAAACTTCGAAGATTAAATTTGTGCAACCAAAACCATCCAACAAGAACTTTCCACTACAAAGAATTGTAAGCACAACATACTCAAGTGGCTGATGCCGCAATGAAACACACATTTTTAAACTGGATATATTTGATGCATGGAGCAGTACAGGGAGAGGAAGAGGGATTAACATATGGTGTTCATCGACTTTGAGAAGGCTTACGATAAAGTGCCAAGGGAGGTTCTGTGGAGATGTTTGGAGGCTAGAGATGTATGTTCATGTGGCTTACATTAGGGCTATTAAGGACATGTATGATGGAGCTAAGACTTGAGTGAGGAACGTGGGAAGGGACTCAGAACACTTCCCAGTTATGATGGGGTTACATCAGGGATCAGCCCTCAGTCCATTTCTATTTGCCTTGGCGATCGACGCGCCACATACAAAGAGAGATGTCGTGATGCATGTTATTTGCAGATGGCATTGTTCTGATTGACGAGACGCGAGGCGGTGTTAACGAGAGGTTAGAGATTTGGAGGTTGACCTTGGAGTCTAAAGGTTTCAAGTTGAGCAGGACCAAGATAGAATACTTGGAGTACAAGTTTAGTGGTACGACTCAGGTTGTGGACGAAGAAGTGAGGCTTGATTCTCAAGTCATCCCTAGAAGAGAGAGTTTTAAATACCTTGGGTCGGTTATACAAGGGAATAGAGAGGTCGACGAGGATGTTACACATCATATTGGGGCAGGATGGATGAAATGGAGGCTCGCTTCAAGTGTTTTGTATGATAAAAATGTGCCACCAAAACTTAAAGGTAAGTTTTACAGAGCGGTGGTCAGACCGACTATGTTATATGGGGCGGAGTGTTGGCCAGTCAAGAACTCTCATGTCCAAAAGATGAAGGTGGCTGAAATGTTGAGATGGATGTGCGTGCATACCAGGCTGGATAGAATAAGAAATAAAGTTATTCGGGACAAGGTGGGTGTGGTCCCTGCGGAGGACAAGATACGGGAGGCGAGACTTAGATAGTTCGGGCATGTGAAGAGGAGAGGCACAGATGCTCCGGTGAGGAGGTGTGAGAGGGTTGGCCCTGAAGGGCCTAAGGAGAGGCAGAGGTAGGCCAAAGAAGTATTGGGGAGAGGTGATTAGGCAAGATATGGCGTTGCTCCAGCTCACTTAGGACATGACCATAGATAGGAAGGTGTGGAGGTTAAGAATTAAGGTAAAGGGTTAGGATAGGTCGCCTAGGGTTGTCATTGTCTGTGACAGTAGCTTTAGTACATATGTTAGTGTTATTTATGTATTTTCGTATTCCTTGACTTCTGTGATTACTTGTCGTTACTTTCGTTCCGGCATTCTGATGGCAGTACTCTGTTTTAGTTTTGTATCTTTGTATTTTTTGCTTCGGTTTCTAATTGGTGTATTTGTTGCTGCTCTTCCTTTTATCTTTCCTAAGTCGAGGGTCTTCCGGAAACAACCTCTCTGCTTTCTTGAAGGTAGGGGTAAGGTCTGCGTACATACAACCCTCCCCAGACCCCACTTGTGGGATTACACTGGGTATGCTGTTGTATATACTTGATGCACGAACCGGAGCTACTTTGACTGAAGAGTTGATGGAATCACAACTACATCATTCACTAAATCCTAGGCAACTCTATGGTGATTTGCATTTCATATCAAAAGAAAAATTATGATGACTTAAACGACAAAATCACAAAATTCCTTTTGTTTAGCACTTCTACATTAGTGATACTTATATTGGCTAAGCTACCTTGTATAGGCAAGGTAATGCAATCAGCATTTCTGCATGTTGTGCATTACTCTGTCCACTTAATCAGGGCATCTAGTAACCTGATAGTTCTGCAACTGTGGGTAGTCTAACTTTTGTGTAGCAGATAGCATTCACACTCTGATTCAAGAAAACATAGTGAAGGCTGTTCATAAAATTGAATCCAAAAAAAATAAAAAAATCTTGACGCAGCTCTTTAAAGCAATCGAATGGCAGCCATGCCTTCGCAGCCTTACGCGCTGCAGTTTTGCTACTTTTGAACAACTCAACCGCCTGGCGTGGTCACAGGCTCAATGTGATGGATCCGCCCGGCATGGTCACAGGCTATATCACAATCCGCCCAGCGTGATCACAGGCATAACAACACAATCCACCCGGCGTCAATGCTATGATTTCTCAAAGAGACATTGAACCGCAGCATATCAAACACAGATTTATAGCCCAATAAAAAGGAATATAACCCACATTGCCTCCTCTTTTTCTTTTGTTTTCGGCTCTAACTTTGGCTTCTGGCCAGTCTTCATATGCAATAAACTTTATTTTTATGCTCATAACCAAATTTTCCCAAACTTTATCAGCTTTTTCTAGTTGTTCACGCCTTTCCATTTATAGCATTTAAGAACTCATCATTTTTTCTTCAATGTCACAACAGAGCCATGTCCATAAGAGCCAGCCACAAAGTTTGCATTCATGATGAATAATACAAGCTCCAATTTTCATGTAGACTCACCATAGTAAGGTGCCCCGTTCAACACTTTCACTTTCATAATCATTTCACTATTGAACTTTTAAACTCAAAAGAAAAATAATAGTAAATTGAGCTTTTGAATTCAGGCTTAGTCATGTCGGTACGCTTTCATTAGTCCAATATTTGTAAGAGTTCATCTAATATTTTCAAGGATTAGTACATCAGTAGATAACTTCTAAGGTTAGAAAACCTTGTTTATTGAACATCGGAATGAGACGGATCAAAATGGAGTAAAACACATAATGAGAATTCATACCGCCGACCTCAACTAGCTTAGGATTGACGCTTAAATTTTCTTTTTTTTTATGACGGTGGTATCGGGGGCCAGCTTTCGCAACTTGACTATTCCACCGGGTAGCTACAACCTCCCACCGGCACAAGTACCGGGTAACTTTGAAAAAACACATCTAATTTTCTTTTATCAAGTTAATTCGCCTAGATTATCAGTGTTTTTTGTTTGTTGTCGAGCTTTTGAAATCAAACAAAGTATCTTCTTTTATGATGCATAGTTGCTTTAATTTACCCAGCAGCTCTCTATAATGATCCATTCTTCTAACCATTTCTTAACCAAAAGTTCTATCGCTCTCACAAAAACTATTACCTTAAGCTTTAAAAAGTTTCATGTAAATAGATGATGCATTCTACACTAAGCTAAAGGTATAAAGAGTAGATATGTAACCTAATAACACTAAATAAACAAGTAAAGCATAATGAAAACGAGAATATCTTAAAACGAGTCACTAAAATTTAGGCAAAGAAAGAAATGAGAACTTACTACTGGATTTCGCCGGGGAAAGGAATCGAGAGAGGTAAAATGGTCTCCAACTTGGCCAAGAAGAAACTTCAGCATAATTTGAAGTAGTGAGAAATTAAGAAGAATTTGGATCCGAATTAAGAGTCCGTTCAACCCGCTAGCAGAAATGTGGGCCTGTAACTTTGAAATCTATTGGCCCAAAGCCCTTCAATCCAAATTGGCCAGATATCGTTTGATTTGGGAAATATTCCGTTTCAACATAATCTACTAGAGATGGAGTAAATCCTGAAAATTATATATTTGGAATTTTTTTTTATGTACAAACTGTAAATAGATTTTTTAGAGTAAAACAAATAAAGATAAGATTATTTGGCTGACGTAGTTTTTTTATGAATAAGAAGAATTCGAAAAGATTAAATGAAAGATAATATGAATTTTCAAGTTGTTAGAGTCTTATATTGGTTAACGACATACTAGCATATAATATATTTTTTCTTTGGATAAAACATGGGATACAGTTTTTCGAGGTCAATTTTGGGAACTGAGTAACAATTAGGTCCAATGTTTCATATGTTCAATCTTGAGCGTCTAGATTATATTATAATATTGGTTTAGAGAATGAGTAATAGTATCTTTATATAGTTTAGTATTATTTTAGTTCGTAAACTAAATTTTGAGATTCAGTTATGTCAAGATTCTTTTATTAACGAAAACAACTTTTGAAAGGAAAAAAGACAATTAAAAAATAGAGGTTCGTCGGCTCGATAAATATTAATTCACACTTAGTATATACGTCAATTTATATTATTTTATCATAATTAAATTGATTAATAAGGATGAGAATACTCATCAATTTAACTATCATTAATAGACAAGAGCTTGTGTGATTGATAAAATAATTTATTTATTAATTTGGAAAGGATGATGGGAAGAACTACATCATGGACTTCTAAGTACTTATCTTATTCGGGAAGGGTACAATTGATTAAAAATATTTTATTTGCAGTCCAATCCTATTGGTCTCGTATCTTTATTTTTTCAAAGAAAGTGATCAAGATGGTAGAATCTATATGCCGAAATTTCCTCTGGACGGGTGGATGAGTGATAACCAAAAGAGCACTATTGGCATGGGAGAAACTGTGTTGTCCTAAGGTTGCAGGGGGTCTTAACATTCTGGATATATCAATATCGAATAAGGCAGCAGTATGTTCTATGAAACCTATGTCAGAAAAGAGACAAATTGTAGGTAGTTTGGGTGCATACATACTATGGTAAAGGGAAGCAAGTTTGGGATATAAAGGGGAAACAAGCATTTTGGATAGTCAAAAAGGTGCTGAAAGCTAAACTTTACTTAGAACGTGCTGCAATAAATCAAAGTGAGCTAGAAAGGATGAAGTCTTTCTCTATCAAAGCGGTATACCAGAAGAAGAGGGGGTCCATCAAAAAGTTCCATGGAGAAAGTTGATTTGTAATAACTATGGTGCACCAAGATGGATTTTTATACTTACCCTGGCAGCTCATAGGAGGCTAAGCACAAGGGACAGGTTGGCTAGTTGGGGTGTGACTGATACACTGGTGTGTACTCTGTGTAATGTTGCTAACGAGACTATTGACCATTTATTTTTCAACTGTGTGTACTCAAGTGGAATATAGAACAGATTATTACAATGGCAAGGATTGACAACAAAGGCTATGAGTTGGCAACATGAAATGGCATGGATGGAAGTTAGTGAGAGGGGTAGGAGCGCTCTCGAGGTATTCAGAATGGCAATAGGTGAATGTGTATATCATATATGGCAGAGCGAAACATGAAAATATTTCAAAATAAGATAAGGCAAGAGGAGCAAGTTACAAGACAAATTGTTCCAGAGATATTCTGCATAGATTCTATGTAGGCTCGATTGACTAAAAAACTGAAAAGCTTAAATTTTTATCCTTAGTTAGCCTAGTAAATACTTTATGACGTTGTTGTTGTAGTTGTTTAAGGGGTACAGTAGTGCTTGAGATGATGCCAATTTTAGTGCTGTTTTTTTTTTTGAGCTGTACAAAGATTACTTGGTAATTAATAAAAAATTATTTACGAAAAAAAATAATAAATAAATAAATATTTTTTTTAACCTTTGGTCCGAGAACAGCAGATGACGTGTCAAACGGAAAAAAAGGATAAAGAAGCGACCAAAATCTGATTCTGCACTCTCAAGTCTAACCTGTTCTACCTTCCAAAATTAACTGAACTTCCCATTCACATTCACATTTCTCGCATAAACTATATTTTGAGAATAAAAAGATAAAAAGGCTCGTACTGATCGAAAAGCTAGGGTTTTTTGCTTTGGCATCGTGATAAGGCAAAGAGAGTTGAGGGGGAAATGGAAGGAGTAAGCAATGGAGGGATGTTGTACCATGAGGTACAAGAATCCAAGCTATGCGCAGTGCATTGTGTGAACACCGTTTTACAAGGGCCGTTCTTCTCAGAGTTCGATTTGGCGGCGGTGGCTTCCGATCTGGACCGTGCGGAACGGCAGATGATGGTACAAGGCGGCGGCGACTTTGTTCCTGAACAGTCTCATAATGTTTCCCTTGACGGCGATTTCAGCATCCAGGTTCACACACACACACACGTGTATTTTATGTTTATGCGCTTTATACTATTTGAAGTCTTGTGATTTTGCGGTGATTTATGAATGGAAGTTAAATTTATGTGTAATTAATGTTTTTACCTTTTTAATTGAGCATATATGGAAGTAAAGACAGGATTGTTTTAGGAAAATTGATGTGTAAATGGCTTATTTTGAATACTGCTTTGTATCTTTTGTACTATATTTGACATCGGGTGACTATTGGTGTGACTCAGGAGTCAATTTTAGTCAGCTTTTGTATAATGCTAATTCAAAACTAAGAATGATAAGGAAATGATAGGTTTTCGGTAGGCTAAAGCTTTTTTATTGTATGATGTTTATCTTGATTATTTTGGTATTGATGTGAAAGCAGTAGTGTTGAACAGTTTAAACCCTTTTGAAATCCTGTGTTGAAATTCATTATCCTATTGTGCTAAGGTTTGAACTGTTCCAGCAATTTCAACTCGCTTTTTAATTGAAACCCTTGTATTAGATCCATAAAATCAAAATTAACACTTTTTTTGGTATACATACTCCTGTAATGTGTCATGCGTGTGCTAAGTGTATTTGATTCAAGCTTGGTTGATTGTGTATAATACACACAAGCATGTAATTAGGTGAACTTGATTTGCCAGAAACTTAATCGAGCTTGAATAGGAAAAGAGCCAGGTCAATCTTCTGCGTAGCTCCACATCTGACCTAGTTCACTTGCTCAATTGTTGAATTGAAATTTCTCTTAAGTCCTAATGGATGACACTTCTCTCATGGAGTTGCTGATTCACAATCAAGTCTTACTTGTATAGCTTAGAGTGGTAAACTGATAGCAATATCTGCAGTTTGTACTTGATTAATGAGAACCAGAGACTACTTTTCTGTATTTCATACTAATGATATGGTACTTGGATCCGAACATCATTTGAGAACTCACTTTTGTATCTTCTAAACCTATTCCTCTGTTTTTCGTATCCAAAACCTGCAATATAATCAAGGGTGCATGACGTAGTTTCCCTTGCATTCCTCTCTACCAGTATTGCTACCATTTGAATATAGTTCATGCATATAAACATGTTTTGTCAATGTGCCCTACCATATTTTGGAAAATTTCAATCTTTTTATAAGGATGGTGCTTGGGCGAGCTTGCGCACACCTCGACTATTACACCGGGTGCCTACTATCTTCCACCAACGTAAGTATCGGGTAATTCTGTCTGCCAAGGCTTAGGCTGATTGGAAGAAACAACCTAGTCTTTTTTGTCTATAGATTTGAACCCTGGTCTCCAAGGTTTTCACCCATCATTGACCATTGGGCTACATCCTTGGGTGCGAAAAATGTTAATTTGTTAATGTAAATAGTAATGATATTTAAATTTGGAAGTTTTGAGTTCCCAATGAATTTGGCTACATTTTGAAGATTTAAATGATCATTTATGATGAGATACTTTCATTTTGAATTTGCTGATGTGGACTCTCGTTGCTATCGTGGCATTTTATCTATTTAACCTTGGGAGACGCATGTCAGATCAATTTACTATGTTGCTTTCTAAAATATGGAAACATAGCTTAAGCAGTCAAGTAAACTTCCATGAAGGCAGAGATTGCGGAGCTTCCTATAATTGTATTTAGGGTTGATGTTTATTACGTATTCGTTTTTGGTAAAGTTGGATTCCAGACACAGTCTCGAATTCTGGATTTGATAAAATGCGTAAACAAATTTTCTTGAAGGGGAGCCTTGGCGTAACTGGTAAAGTTGCTGCCATGTGACCAGGAGGTCACGGATTCAAACCGTGGAAACAACCTCTTGCGGAAATGCAGGGTAAGACTGCGTACAATAGACCCTTGTGGTCCGGCCCTTCCCCAGACTCTGCGCATAGCGGGAGCTTAGTGCACCGGGCGTAAACAAATTTTCTACTTTCCATTTCAAAAAGTAAAGTTCTTGCAACGATGGTTATTCGTTTAAGCCTTCCTCTAGTACCACTAGATCTTGAACAAGGTAGAAATTCTCGTGTGCTACCAGATCTTCAACAAGGTGGAAATTCGCGTATTGCGTGTTTGCATATTCCTACAGAATATTTTTACTAATAATAGAAAAGCACTTCATGAAAGAGGATAGAGATATACCAAAGAACTAGAGAATCTACATGAAGATATGATTCTCTACGAAAGACACCTAATTTTCTATACAAATAAGAATCTCATGGGTGCGCCAAAAAAAAACTGAAAACATGAGGTTATTCCTCTAGTGCACAAAATCAAAGTTCCTTCCCTTCAAAAGTTAACTATTTCTTTCCCCCCATGCTGTCTGTCACATAAATGCTAATAGAATGACAACCCACACAAGGTGTCTTCAATTCCTTCCTTTAAACGGCCTACTAAATAGTGCATTCTTCATAGTATTCGGCATGTTCATTGTACGCCAAACCATCTTAAAAGCTCCTACTACAAACTTGATGCTACTTGGCAATGCAGTAAGAGATCATCCACGATTCTCCCAAATATTTGCACATTAAACAC